TTGATAATAGAAGTCCTCGGAAAGAGAAGAATCTATGCCATGTTCATTTGGATTTCCAGTAGCGGTGACCAATTGCTGCAATTGAATACGAGTAATAAAGTTTTTGTCTTGGGGCGTCATCAAGCCATTGTCTTTCGACAACAAAAATATCTTGTGGTTTCGCTTTGCTCTCTTAGCATCCTCCAACAAGAATGCGGCCCGCTCTTCTTCCGATAAGTTTACCAATTGCTGTGGGTGAGTGATAACATGTCGATTTCCAGAAGCATGTGGATGATGATGACCACGTTGCGCACCGTGAAGTTGGTTGGCAAATCGGTTTATATTTTGCATATGTGCCGGTTGAATTGGGATGGATGGAACATTTGCCTGACTGGTTGGAACTTGAGGACGTTGCAAAATGTGAATTTGTTGCTCAACAGGAAGCTGGCGTTGTTCCGATTGAGGTGGGGCACTGGCTGGAACCGGGAATTGCTGCTGTTGCTGTTGTGGAGCTTGTAATGGTGCTTGTTGGTGGAAATTTTGATACTGTTGAGGTGGGGGCTGTTGATATTGAGGTTGAGATGGTGGCATTGGTTGTTGCTGAACAGTTGCTTGAGGTTGCGATGGCTTCTTAGCTTGAGCTCTCATGGCTGCTTCAACTTCTTCCAAACTCATCATCTTTCGGCTCGGTGCAGATGTACCGGCAGCTGGAGGAGTGGCGGCTTTTGGAGCTTGTTTTGGAGCAACACCCCAGAGATTTGCATCAACCTGCATATCAGGAACATATTCCGACTCTTGATATCTCTCGTAGCCAGTTCTAGCGGGTCTTGACGTATGCTGTTGTTGAGAGTATGAAGATGTGGCTGGAGTTGTCCTAGACACTACTGGTTGTTGTCGGGTGTATCGCATTTGTTCCTCATTGATAGCATCGGAGACCTTTGCCGTTTGTCCAAAAAAGTCGAAGTTATTTCCAACTGGCTTGCTTGCAACAGTATCGCCCGCACCGCCACCAAAGGTATCATTATTGAAATCATCACCGGTTTCTTGAAGCTGATCTCCTAAACCATCATATGTATCCTCGAAGTCGAATCTGCAGGATAAAAAAATATCAGCTTTTCATTCTTGATCAAAGCCAAACAGAACTTACGCTTCATTATCGTTTCCTGTGCCAGAAAGACTTGCAAATGGATCCGCATGTTGACCAAAACCAGGAGCTGCAGTATTATGGCCCCTCTCATGAGGAGCTTGACTGGGATCAAATCCAAAGAAAGACATGATTAAAGAAATCGCAAAGCCGTGGTTTCCATTAATAAGATACGACGATCAAGAAATTATTTGACGCGTGAAGTTGTAGTTCCAGAGATCAATTCTTTTCTTTGACTCTCGAAGAAAAGGTTAGATCAGAATAGATAGATAATACAAGCTTCAATGATCCGGTGAAACAAAATTGTTGGTGAGCAGTAAGTGAGTAGTACGAAGTTGAATGATACAACGAACACAAGAAAGAAAGAAAGAAAGAAAGAAAGAGAGTGGTCTTTTCTATTTTTTGGGAGGTTTTTGTTGCGTTGGTGGGATGATTGAGGGTGACGAGATGGAAAGGTGGAGGAAGGGAGATGTTACTAGAAGGCAATAAAGCTTCAAAAATTAAGCGTGGGTGGTAGCTGATATGAGTGGGGTAGAGAAGACAGAAGACAGAAGACAGAAGACAGAAGAGAGAAGAGAGAAGAGAGAAGAGAGAAGAGAGAAGTAAGAAAATAGATGCCTTGATTCTATGGATCTAGCCTTGCGGCCCGGGGTCTAGAAGGCACTGGTAGGTTAGATACCTGTGAGCTGAATCCGAGCGGAGCGAGCTATGGGGGTTTGGGGGCTTGCCCTCATAATAGACGATAGTATCTAATGACAATTGTTCAAACCAGCAATTGCACTACATATACAAGGTTAGGAGGTAATTATATCATATAAACATAGAATGACGCTCCGCTGGCCCTCCGGGAGCCACTGCCGTGGAGGCAGACTAGATAGATTACAGGAAACCCTGATATCTGCTTGACAGCGAATGTGTATTGTTTAGACTATATCTAGACATGGTTTTCAAACAGAGTAACAATACATTTTATAGTCAATAAAATACTAAATCGCAAAGTCTTTCGTTCTTACCTTTGGTACCATATGTGAGGTACTAGAACCCCCTTGTTATATACCCGATTAGTATGAAAGCATAACTGTCAAGAAAACATCTGCCGTTGTTGTCAAAATTGCCAAATAGTATAAAGAATATGTATATCAGATGGTCACTTGCAGCAGTATCATATGTTATCAAATAGATCTTAAAGGCCTTTTTAACTGTATTAATAACAGGTACTCGTCGCCCTGACTGTAGATGCACGTTGCCGAAGAGCAGTGAGGAATGAGGAACCATCTGACTGTGCCACTCTTCCAAGGGCTCGACTGTCTCGTATTTACAAACTTTATCTGGGGGAAGCTAAAGGTCCCGACCTCGATAATAACAGCAACTCACCAGGCAATTGGTGGTCCTCGAAGGAAAAGGGAAATCCTCCCTTGCGTAATCATTCTAGAAAAAGAACCCAACAAGGATAAATTTGGGCTAGAACTAATAAATCTTACTGGCCTATAATTTGCATGCTTGTTGGGGCTTTTGGAATACGCAAGTACTAGGTACACCAAGTATTTACTTACTGTACACGAGAAAGATTGACCTCCTTTATTCATATTTACACGTACTTCTCTCTCCTCTTCTCCCATCTCTCTTTCTCCCATCTTCAAAACTCCTTCGCCAGTGTGTGTTTTTTATATCACACAGTTTCTATCATTCGTTCCTTTCCTTCTTCTCCATCTTCTTCCCATCTTCTTCCCATCTTCTTTTTCTTTGGAATTCAATCCTATCTTCATAACATTGAAGGTTCAATTAAAAGAAGATAATAGAAGACTATTTGCTTTCGCGACATTCGATTGGGTTGCGGCTAAAAGGAGTCTACAACTGCTGAAGATTCCATTCGTGTCCAATTGGTTAGTGAAATAACGGTTGGATTGATGAAAGCCGCATCAACGAGAGTTTCAAAAATCTCGACATAAAAAACTTATCTCATCATGGCTACTGGAACAGCCAGATATTTGAGATATATTCTCTTTGCATTCTTTGTAAGTATTTTGGGGGGACATGCTTGGGATACCAGAAAGTCCTTTGGATCCACCCATTAATGATTTCTCTCCACAGGGTCTCGCCATCGTCTACTTTATATCATCTTCATCAGACCAAAGATTACAAACTGCGCAGCAAGTCTTCACAGATAAAACTGGTATTCCTACCAAGGCAGGCACTTCACCAGGGCACTCTGCTGAAGATTCGACGACATCCGATGCTAAGACTTCTCCAAATACTCATGATCTTCCACCTGCCACCATCCCAGGAGAGCGTATGAATGCGACATTCGTCACTTTGGCACGAAACTCGGATATTTGGGAAATCGCACGATCCATTCGTCAAGTCGAGGATAGATTCAACAAGAAATTCAATTACGACTGGGTTTTCTTGAACGACAAGCCATTTGATGCCACATTCAAGAAGGTTACTGCATCCCTTGTTTCCGGAAAGACTCATTATGGAGAAATCCCAGAGAAACATTGGTCATTCCCTGACCATATCGATACCGACAAGGCTCGCAAGGTCCGTGAAGATATGGCACAAAGAAAGATCATCTACGGTGATTCTGTTAGTTATCGCCACATGTGTCGCTTCGAATCTGGTTTCTTCTTCCAACAAGAATTGATGTTGAACTACGAATGGTACTGGAGAGTTGAGCCATCTATTGAACTTTTCTGCGATATTGATTATGATGCATTCAAATTCATGGCCGATAACAAGAAGAAGTACAGTTTCGTTTTGAGTCTTTACGAATATGTCGAGACTATCCCGACTTTGTGGGACAGTGTCAAGAAGTTCATCAAGGCCCATCCAGAGCATATTGCCGAAGGCAACTCAATGGGTTTCCTTAGTGATGATGGTGGTGAAACTTACAACCACTGCCACATGGTACGTTTTGGTCATACAATGATGAGTTGCGTGAACATTTTACTAACACAGTGTTGCAGTGGTCTAACTTCGAAATTGGTAACCTCAATTGGCTCCGATCAAAGGCCTACACGGATTACTTCGAGCAACTCGACCAAGATGGAGGATTTTTCTATGAACGTTGGGGTGATGCACCAGTCCACTCCATTGCTGCAGGTCTCCTCTTGAAGAAAGAAGAAATTCATTTCTTCAACGATATTGCTTACTACCATGTTCCTTTCACCCATTGTCCAACAGGAGAGCAAACAAGACTCGACTTGAAGTGTCACTGCAATCCAAAGGATAACTTTGACTGGAAAGGATACTCATGTAAGTTTTCCTCTTCGTTCTAAATATGACATTGTTCTAATTGTCCAATAGGTACATCACGATTCTTCGATATCAATAAGATGGAGAAGCCAGAAGGATATGAAAACCAACAAGACTAGAGTCACAGTCTAAATTAACTATAGTATTCGTGTTCGAATGCATTTTCTAGGGAGCAGCATTGGTGGTTTGGGGATCGATGATATATCTACTAGGTACTATTTGGCATGATAGGAAAGGGGGTACGGGCGTTTGCATGGGGTAAAAATCCAACTGAAACGCTGTATATGTTAAGATGGCCTGGGATAGGATCTGGCTTGGGAAGTAACATCTCTTGGTTTCTCATCGGGTGGTAGACAAATTTTGAGATAGATTTTTACAATAAGGCAGGCAATGTCTGCATAGTGAGAGAAATTATATACTCTGTTTGTATAATGTCGAAGTTCATGATTGTACACGCATCAAGATCACCCCTCTATGGTAAAATGCCGTTTCAGCCACGTCACGTGACCGCTTAAGCCACACCAATCACAATCCATTGGCAATATCGAAAGCTTTCTCTCCCCTCACCTTCTCGTCGTCGACGAACGCGATCATTCAACGATCTCCGCACTTGGTCCTCACAATGGCCGCCTCAATACTACAACGGCTCTTAATGCCGTCCATACGGTCAACAACCTCAATCTCTACCCTTCGTCCCACCACACAATCTATCACGAATCAGCTCAAATCAATCACAATATCCTCGTCGCGGACATTCTCCTCAACCCCCTCCCACGCCGCAACATACAACCAAGTCCGTCGCGGTTGCCGTACTGCACAAGCTATGCGTAAATCTGTTTCCCCTGCCTTATCAACAGTCCAGGCTCCAGCACTAAAGGGCGTAGCATTGAAAGTCGGAATCACCAAACCAAAGAAACCGAACTCGGCAGAACGTAAAACGGCCAGAGTTAGATTGAGTACGGGAAGAGTGGTTACGTGTTATATTCCGGGTGAAGGACACAATGTGCAACAGCATAGTGTGGTATTGGTCAGAGGAGGAAGGAGTCAAGATTGTCCGGGGGTGAGATATCATTTGGTTAGAGGAGCGGGAGATTTGGTGAGTAGATTTATTTTTCTTTCAGAGTTCTAGGAGGAGGTTGCTGTGTATTTGGGGAGTCAAGTTGAACGGGAAAAAATGGGAAAAGATGACATGTCGTCTTGAATTTATGCTAATGTATTCGCAATCACAGGGAGGTGTAGGAAATAGAGCAACATCACGGTCGAAATATGGAACGAAGAAACCAAAGAAGGCGACTGCATGAGAGCGTTGATGTAGAATTAGCCGGAGGTGAAAGATGGAGTTTAGAGGAACATTCACCCTCCAAAGAGTTAGAGAATGAACGATAATATATCGAACGGGAGGAGGACTATAGCCACTAGAATACACGGAGGCATCAAATGAGCCTATAGGTGGTTTATACAGGATTTCCAGCCTCGTGCGTTGAGACGTCGAGAGCGATTGTACATTACACAAAATATCAACGATCTATGCATAAATATGGATAAAATCTAATGTTCGGAGGAACACGCTGAGGAACAAAATTCCCCAGTTGGTTTTGAGTTAGGTGCCCATGGGAAGTTATTTCAACCCACTCAGAAGACCGAAGAAGCCTACAGATACTTGTGGCTTGAATCGATTGACTCGCCTTTGGGTATTTGAATAACCTCACATCATTTACATCTTTGCAGAACTCTCGTTTGGACAGAAGGTAAATACGCCATCGATCAGCATCTTATTTCTGATGAAAAGCAAGGAGCACTTCGGTCCGGAGAAACTTGTTTTCTCTTTTCCTTCAGAATCTGATGCAAGGGCATGAAGCTATACCACAAGCGTGTCTGAATACTTCCGTCCGAATAATCCGGTTGGTGCGCAAGACATTGACCTGTTTCTCCACCAAGATCAACATTTCTCTGGATTTCTGGCCTGGCGTCATTTTTACTTTGTATTATTTCATCAAGACTTTCCGGGGCAGCTCGGTCGGGAAAATATTATTGCTTTTAGCCAAACGAAGTGCTCCGTTATAATGAAGCATCTGGTTGGCTGTCTGGGTAGAGTGACGATCGTTTACATTGTTTACCCCGCATGTTGTGGTTCGGAGTTGTACCTTTATATGTGCCTGTGCCTGGAGATTCCTCGTACTGGGCACATATCATGGGTCTACTAGGTATGTAAAAAAAAAATTAATCTTCGCACTGCTGTGAGTGATGTGTACTGACACGGGGCATTGAAGTTTTCGATTCGGAGAATGTTGTGCACGTCGGTGAGGGGGAAGATGGCGAAAGTGGATAAACTTCTTCGTATCCATAGGTATTGTATATAAAGGTTACATCCGGTGTAGGTTCACATTTTCCTTGCTAAGATACTTTATCTTCCTTTACATGTGTGTGATTATAACTGCACTCGCAATTGGGATATTGCAATCATGAGGTTTCTACATGCTTTTACGGCAATTGCTTGCGCGGCTCAAGCTGCAGCATTGTCAATTAATATTGGCGGTGAGAACATGGTTGTCGAGAGAGATGCTGGGCTTCAGGATGTTGTAAGTTTCGACATATATTGACATCCCTTCCTCGGGAATCGGATCAAACAATGGTCAATTGAGCTCCCAATGCATAGTACAAAAGCTAATTGAACAGGTCACATATGATGAACACTCTCTCAAAGTATACGGAGAACGTATATTTGTTTTCTCAGGAGAATTCCATCCCTATCGACTCCCAGTCCCCGATCTATGGCTTGATATATTTCAGAAAGTGAAATCACTTGGATTCAATACAATTTCCTTTTATGTTGATTGGGCTTTACTAGAAGGAAACCCAGGACACTACACTGCAGATGGAGTGTTTGCTTTTGAGCCTTTCTTTGATGCCGCCAAGGAAGCGGGTATCTATCTCATTGCTCGTCCAGGTCCTGTGAGTTCATACTTCTCTATCTTCCGACTCCAATCTCGTGCTAATATATACCCACACAGTACATCAACGCTGAAGTCTCTGGAGGTGGATTTCCAGGATGGATCCAACGTGTAAGTGGTGTTCTACGATCTCAAGCTCCAGATTATCTCAAAGCAACCGACAACTATATGGCAAACATCGCCAGTCTAATCGCCAAATACGAAATCACAAAGGGAGGACCAATTATTCTGTATCAACCAGAAAATGAATACTCAGGATACTCAGGATATGTTCCAGGTGGATGGCCAGATCCAGTCTACTTTGCATATGTGAAGAAACAGGCTAGAGACGCGGGTGTTACGGTGCCATTTATCAGTAACGACGCTTGTAGGTTATTGTTCTTTTTACTCGAGTCATGCGATATAAACGAGGAAGAGAGAAATATTTGGTGATGGTGTTGAAAAGAGCTAACATTAAACAGATGCGGGTGGACATTTTGCACCAGGTGACGTGGTTAATGGAACTACAATTGGAGATGTTGATATCTACGGTCATGACTCTTATCCATTAGGATTTGATTGTGCTCATCCAACTACCTGGCCTGCTGGGAACTTACCGACTTTTTTCGCGGCGTCTCATGAGCAACAAAGTCCAAGTACATTCTATTCCATCAATGAATTCCAAGGCGGTGCTTTTGATCCTTGGGGTGGTCTTGTGAGTCTCTTTTCTTATGATTTGTTTGCCGTCACTCACCTCTTATAGGGATTTCAAGCATGTGCTCAACTCTTGAATGAACAATTCGAGAGAGTCTTCAACAAGAATGATTTTGCTTCGGGTGTTGCTCTTTTGAGCTTATATATGATTTGTGAGTCTGCGATATGATTGCACATGTATAAATACTAATCGTTTCTCAGATGGCGGCACAAACTGGGGTAATCTTGGTCATGCTGGTAAGCAACGGAATTCTGCTCTATTATTAGCTATTGCTCACATTCTTAGGTGGCTATACATCTTACGACTATGGCGCTGCCATTACTGAAAACCGCGAGATCACACGTGAAAAGTATAGCGAGTTAAAGCTAGAAGCCAACTTCCTGAAAGTCAGCCCCGCATATCTCACTATATCTGTTGGTCCAGCTGCCAATGGTACACATACCAACAGCAATGCCATCACCACTACTCCACTCCTTGGCAATGGAACCGTCACAAACTTCTATATTGTTCGCCACTCAGATTATCAAACTTTGGCTTCTACAAACTATAAGTTGACTGTTACTACAAGTCAAGGCGCTCTTACTATCCCTCAATTGAACTCAAGTCTTACTCTAAGTGGTAGAGATTCAAAATGGCATGTAACAGACTATGACATTGGAGGAACAACACTCCTTTACTCTACAGCAGAAATTTTCACCTGGAAGAAGTTTGATGATAAAACTGTTTTGGTCGTCTACGGTGGGCCAGGAGAATCTCATGAATTGGCTGTGGTTACAAAGAGCTCAGCACAAGTTGTTGAGAGCTCAGGTATTACGAGCAAGAGTACCAATGGTTCGACTATCCTTAACTGGCAAACATCTACTACACGTAGAGTGGTTAAGCTCGGTAACGTATTTGTCTACATTTTGGATCGAAATACTGCGTACAATTATTGGGTACCAGACTTTGCCAGAACCGACAAATGGGGTGCATTGTAAGTGTTCGAATCTAGTTTTGGTCTCACATAGCCGCTAACACAAAATCAGCGCTTCAAGTATCAAGAACACAGCTTCCGTCATCGTAGAAGCAGGTTACCTCGTTCGATCCGTTTCAACCCAGGGTTCAGATCTCCATATCTACGGTGATCTCAACGCTACCGTCCCATTTAAAGTAATCGGTGCTCCCAAAGGAACCAAGAACCTTTACTTCAACTCCCAAAAAGTATCTTACAAGACGGATTCTACAACTGGTGAACTCTCATCAACACTCACCTACACAGCTCCCAAAATCTCTCTTCCAAATCTCTCAGCTCTTTCTTGGAAATATCTTGACAACCTCCCTGAGATCAAATCCTCTTACGACGACTCAGCCTGGACAGTCGCCAACAAAAACTCAACAGCTAACCCCTACCTCACTCCTCTCCTAACCCCAACTGTCCTCAATGGTCCAGATTACGGCTACAGCACCGGAGTTTTGATATTCCGCGGTCACTTCATCGCTACCGGCAATGAATCCACCCTTTACATCTCCACTCAAGGAGGCTCCGCCTTCGGCTCATCCGTCTGGCTCAACTCAACCTACATCGGATCCTGGGTCGGCGCCGACTACGCCGAAGCCAACAACTCTACTTACACTCTACCCAACCTAAAAGCTGGCTCTAAGTACATCTTCACCGTTGTGATCGACAACAACGGTCTCGATGAAAATTGGACCGTAGGAACCGAAGAAATGAAATCTCCACGAGGAATCCTCAACTACGTTCTTTCCGGCCACGCTAAAGATTCCATAACATGGAAACTCACCGGAAATCTCGGTGGTGAACAATACATCGATCAAGTGCGCGGTCCATTGAATGAAGGTGGTCTCTATGCTGAACGTCAAGGTTACACTCAACCTTCTCCTCCTTCTTCATCGTGGAGTTCTGGATCGCCTCTGCAAGGAATCAAGAGTGCAGGTGTAGGATTCTGGACAAGTACCTTTAAATTGGATTTGCCAAAGGGTTATGATGTACCCCTTGCATTCAATTTTGCAAACTCAACAACAACCAATGGAACAAGTGATTATAGAGTACAACTTTGGGTCAACGGATGGCAATTTGGAAAATATGTGAACAACGTTGGACCGCAGACAAGCTTCCCAGTGCCGCAGGGTATGTCTTTTTTTTCGTTTTCCTTCCCCATCCCCATCTTTATTCTTCTTAGATATGTACCAAATTACTAACTCACACCTCTCCACAGGAATTCTAAACTACAACGGTCAAAATACCCTCGCCATCGAACTCTGGGCTCAACAATCCTCCGGCGCTGCAATAACCAATTTCACATTGACGGCTGGAACACCTGTACTTACGAGTTTGAAGGCGCCTAGTTTGGTGGACAGTCCGGCTTGGAGCAAGAGGAAGGGTGCTTATTGATTTGAAAGCGAAATTCGGGGGAGGAAGAGAAGTGTAAATAGCAGCGGAATGAATGGTAGTGTATGGAGGAAGTATTAGGTATTCATACGAGAAATTATACATATTCAGCCACTTGTGTACTTGTGCATGGATTTGTTACCAGTTCCCACAGCCTCATTTGTGTGGTGACTATCACCTGTGAATAATTTCACAAGGAGTACAATACGCAACAAATCATGCAACCAGAAAAGAGACATGACAGGCTTCAAACAATAGTCTTCGTAAGAGGTATCAAAATTGAGTATCTGGATCTTTCGCCAATATGCTACATATCCTTTATATCGCTAGCACAAATGCATATGATAATGTACAAAAAATCTAACAAGATGCAATGATTTGTACAATTCCTTCAAAATTCCTTCTCGGTCATCTGATTCAGAATCTATGAACGACGTATAATAAGAGTAAAGATGGCTCCTACAAGCACTGCTCCCCCAGCGGCACTTTCTAATGCTATGATCGTCATGTCTCTTTTTGG